GAGGAAAAATCCTCTGCCCCCGTCGGGGATCGAACCCCGGTCGTCCAGCCCGTAGCTAGTCACTATACTGACTGAGCTATCCCGGCTCATTCCCAGTATCCAGTATAACATTTAATTTATTTACATTACACACTTAAGGAGTACTTCCGTTTCACTCTGGATGCTAGGAGGAAGGCCTGAAGATAAGCAAATTGCAAAATCAAAAATTGAGCTGTGATAAGTTGCGTTTAACTGCGGCAATTGTATGCAGCGCTGTTTTCAACAGCTTCTTAGGCGAGCGCTGATGTGGATCTTTGACTGCATGAGAATGTGTAGCGCACGAGGTTACACGGCATGAAACTTTTGTAGCTCACGCTGTAGACTAATGGATGCAGGTACACCGTTCATGTGTTGTACACAGACTTGCTAGCCCTCGTTTTTGAAATGTCTGAATGTAATACTTCATGTGAAGATTTGTAGCATGATTGTCATGCTACATTTGATCTGGCTGTATCACAAGGAGTTGTGGGGGGACATGAGGAAGTGGCATGGTTCAGTGGAGAATGAATGTGTCATTTTTTATTTGTCGTCTGTATGGGTCCTAAAACGGATGTGTACAGTTTGTATATAGGTGTAAGTATATATATTGTGTGGACATTTGTGTTTTCCTTACCTTTCGGGGATTCGTCGTTCTCTGATGTACCGAGAGACCGAGAACCCTGCACAAATGCGAACCCCATCCATTGAAGTCCTGCCTGTGAGTGGTTGCCCAGGCTCATCACACGATTTAAGTCCAGGGTTGTTACAAGTGAGTATTCAGCATAAAGAGTTTATTGTGATAAAACTGTATGATTGCACTGCTTGCTGGCCGTACGCGGCTACCGATCTGTCTGTGAACGAGATACGGTCCAGTCCTTCTGTGACATATTTTGATGGAGGTTTATTCTTAAACAAGTTAAATACATGCAAGAAAAATTATCTGTGCTAGTCTGTTAACTTCTGTGCCATGTTACCCATATTAAAAAATGCAGAGGATGCGGAGGGAACCTTTGCTCTGTATACATACAGTTTGATTACAGTCAGTGTTGTAATTTGCGTATCTCGTTTGTAATAAGTCTGGATTTATAATGAGAAACTGAAGTGTGCATAAACCAATGTCAAAATAATTACATTGGTTTTCAGTTGATTCGAGTTGTGTACAAAAAAAAAAATACTGAAAGGAGAAATTGCTACGTACGAGTAGGAATTTGTGCACATATTTGCCACTACCAGCGCTCTGGAATGAAAAAATGAAGACCCCCAGTGATTATAATTAATTCTTCTTGGGCTAACAGCCGTTTCAGGTGGTCGAATCGATAAAAACACTGACGTTTCAAGAACCTTCTTTATCTTTGTCCTCAGGGTACTTAAGTTCAACATTTTTCTCCATTCAATCACCTGACATGGCTGGTAGCCCGAGAAGAATTCATTGTACTTAGTCGTCATGAAAGTTTCAGATCATACACCCCAGTGATTTTCAGAATTATAACGTATGTTGGACCCAAATCCAGTTCCAGGACAGCCTTTAAAGCTGTGCTAAAGATTTGCATGAAACCATTTTTATCTGGTAATATTAATTGTTAGTTTGTGAAGGAACTTGCATGGCCAGTATGGAAATGGTGGGGTAGGTGATTCAGGCAGTACACTGAAAACATAGTTGTTCAAAGTTATGGTTACATTCGTTGAAACCTGGTTTAAGAAGTAAGAGCATGTAGATCCAGGGTCCTGACTCAGTTTCAGTGGAGTGGGTTTCATTCAGTGATGGTCGTTGTTTGGTATATCAGGTGTCGTGATTGACCTTGTGTGTGTATATGTTTACCGGCAATGTATAGATTGCCTAAAGTCAGTAGGCAAAATAGGAAATGAATCATAATTTTAATATTGTTTGGTTGTGTAAATTAAAATTAATCAAAGTTGATTGGGTAAGCTGTCAAGATGGAGGTTGTGAAAGATAGTCGCGAAAACACCAAGCTACAGAATCTGAACATAAAAGTTTGGAGAATTAAACAAAAATCGTTTTATATTCTAACCTAACCTAACAAAAGTTTTGAGAATTAAAAATTCGTTTTATATACTAACCTAACCTAACAAAAGTTTTGAGAATTAAAAAAAGGTTTTATATTAAGTTTTTGCAAATATAAAATATAAAATAAAACTGTATCAATTTTATTATAGAAACTCCTTTCTTTTATACTTTGCCTAAAGAATCTGAGGCATTTTATAAAATTCCTAGGTATTCTATAGAATACCTAGGCAAATTATAAAATAAACTGTTTGTTTCATACATTGCCTAAAAGTTCTAGGCATTTTATAAAATGCGTGGGCATTCCATAGAAAGCCTGAATTTCCTACTTTGCCTACCGACTTTAGGCATTCTATACATTGCCGGATTTCATAGTTTGCCGGTAACATATATACACTATTTGCCCGACCTCTGTTGATGGAGGTAGTAAGTTACTCAAAAACATTGAATGTTTGTCGCGAAAGGTTTGATGCCAAACCACTGTCAGTAAGAAGTCCTCAAAGTACGTCATGATGGAGTATGATTCGCAGCTGAAACAAAGAGGCCAGTGACCACGAAGACCTGAACAGACTACCCCATCATTATCGGAACTGAATGACGTGAATGTAAACGTGAGGTGACGCATCGTTTGAATTGTTACTGCCGTGTCAGCGGCTGGTTCAAGCATTTGCTTTTTTGGCAGCATTCTTGTAATTAAACGTCTGAAATAGTGTAATTGGCCAGCCTTTTACAAATTATACTTAATGCTGAAAGGAAATAAGGGCTACATTCTTGTATTTCCATTGATTTATATTTACTTGCATATATTTTCTTTGTTTTATCTACATTTACGTACTCTTTAAGGAACAGTAAGCTCATGACGTGCCTGTAATGACCAACCAGGACTTGATCCAGACGCCTCGTGAACACAGGTCAGCTGTTGTGGTGCACAAAGTATCAGCAGTTACAACGTATAGAGGGCATGTAAATTTTACAAGGGATGTGTAAGCAAAAATTGAGCTTTGGTACTGGACTTTAGTGTTATGGCTGACCTTTGAAACAGGAATAACTTGTGTTAAAAGTAATTGCGTCACTTGTAAAAATAGCACATTTTTTATCTGCTAATGTCTACTTTATATAAAAGCTTCAAATACGCGCTAATTTATTTATTATCAATGTATGAATGTAATGATTCGGCACGTGCTTCAAAGTTGGTAGTTGGGGTCACAGAAATCGCAACTGAATGTCAGTAGTGACTAGTCATTGTGGCAGCAAATTGACTCATAATACACGCAGAAGTTGTGAAAGTGTAAAAACTTTGAAGATATCCGTCTTCTGGGTTATTGCGCTGTGTAGTCTGGTCGATGTTAACCAACGTTTCAGAGGTCATACTGCCTCCATCATCAGGGCGATGAATATGCCAATAGGGTGTGAGGAGCTGGATTTATAGGCTGGGAAGTGAAAGGTGTAGCTTGCCCCGAGCCAACAAGTGAGTACCTGGCAGCTGATACTTCACGAATGAAATCCTTGTGTTTCAAACACTTGGGCGTTAAATTATGTATGTAAAAATTCACGTAACATATCGAGAAACAAACACTTATTTTCAGGCTGAAATAAAGTGTTATATATGCAAGTAAATATTTTTTTTTGTGCTGTGGCAGTGTTTAATTCCTTTGCCTTTAGATTAATTTATGAATACATTCTTTATTTTTCCCTTCTTAAACTTAAATGTATGGCTATTTAAGGTTAATCTCAGTACAAACCTTGTTATCAGCAAAGGTTGTAAAGCAGTGGTACGAATCAGGTGGGAAAGAGGTTTGGGGGGAGGGGGGGTTGTTACCAGAACAAGTACCCAGTGAGGAACATGAGAAATAAAGAAAACAAATTGTGTCAAGCAAACATTTGGTTGTGTGGATTCTGCACATTTGTGTGCTGTTAAACCATAACTCATATAAACATCTTAGCGTGCATGTGCGTACCGCATCGTCATGCAGGGATGGAAGGCTGCGTTGTTTACCGCGTTTCTCCGCAGGTGAACAGGTTCTGCGACATTGTCATTTTACTACGCGTGTTTCTGAACTTGGGTAGCTGTGGCATGATTGGTTGTCACATGTTTCAGAAGGCTTTATTTTTTGTCGTTAGTAAACACAAACAGTGTCGACCATAATTTCTGCTTTTGTTTTTGTCAGAAGCCAGAATGTAAATAAAACATAGTGATTGAACTGTTATTCTGGTAAGATCCACAGGTAAACCTCGCTTTCGGATCAGAGATTGATTGTTTTACCAGTAAACCTATTGTTTTTAATTAAGTGTGATCAAAAAATATAATTTCAGATTTTTTTTGGACGCTTGAGGGGTTGCCTTCCTCCTCTCAGACGCCATATTGTTATTGTAAATGTTCCATTTAAAATTACGATGAAAACTTTTTTCCTGGTGAAGCCAACATATATGGAATTCCTTGATTTTGGGTTTGTCCGTCACAGATGCTGTGTTGTAAGTTTGGGGCAGTAATGGCTGCACAATGTGTTCGATATTTATCGGAACATTTTGACTTTTAGCTACTGCCTTTTACCTGTTTCGTGATATTGCGCAGAGTTCCGTTCATTCATTCATTCATCCTCGACTGTCTCAAAGTTTGGCCGCAGCGCCATCTTACTGTTACTCAAATTTTGTGTTTAATGAGGCTTAGGTTAGGTGTTGACTGCAAAGGTTTATCAATCATGTGAGTGTACAGTAAATGTGTGATTTGACTCTGGGGCTGGGTTTACCTTAATCTGAGCTTACGTTCGGTGTTTACGTGAACCGTTCCGTAACTACCACTTT